TGAATAAAATGATTTGCATATGCCTAATAGACTGTATTAACATCACTATTCTAGCTGTGTATCTCATCACACTTGCGCACAATGTTCATGAGCGAAATCTAAGCAGGGTGTAAACATACTTCTCTGCTGTGCACATCTGTGCCTGGGAATAGGAAGCAGGACCTCACTCCTGCTAGGCAAGGATGCTACCCTTCAGCTACATCCCCTGCCCAGTTTGCTTTTGTTTTTCTATGGTCTGATGCATTTTACTATTGAAGACCACCAAGGCCAAACCTCACTAAAAACATGCCCTTGCACGAGCGCAGCTCACTTAGAAGCGCTGGAAGTGGATGGAATCTACCATACGACATAAATGCTGCAAACACCATTTAGCTGCGGTATGAAATCAGTTCTAAAAATCCAGGAACTGCCATTGTCCAAAAAATAATCTGCAGTTGTCACGAGCTTGAATTGCTGAAACTTGTTCACTGAAACACCCTGACTTGCCTTATGTCTCCACATCTATATTACAAATTCACACACAAAGGAAAATATAGCCGCCATCGGCACGTGAATTCTATTTTTCTAGTTGCAGTCATATGCTTAAGGCACTTTTTGATCTCACAGGGAGAAAAAATAATCTAATGTTCAGGACTAAGAGTAACAGGAAATAGCGTGGCTTGCAGGTTAGCTCAGTTGTTTAAAGCGCCTGCTTGGGCAAACTTGGTCAGGGGCAGGGGACCATGGTTTGATCTCCCGCTCCACAAGCCACACCAGAGCCACCCTGAAGGCAGCCTGAGCCAGCCAAAAAACAAAAAAGTAACAGGAAAAAAGAATGTATTTTTTCAATGTTGGAATGCTACATGAACTCCTGTTTTCCTCGCGCAGGGGCCACGCTGATCTCGAGGTCCCTCCGGCGTTAGTGCACGTGCTGCCACAGTCAGCATTCTGCATTTCTTACAAATGCATGTGACTCTCCAATTGCCTGAATCGCCTCAATAAAAATTTAAATGACAAAGATGGTGCACTTCACCTGCTAGACACTGACAAATATCCAGTCACGTTTCAAAACTTCAGGGGGCTGTGCATTTTGACCCGGAGACCAAGGTGAAGTCACTACTGGCCTCGTCTGATTCAGTGTCCAGCACAGGAGAGGGAAAGCTCTCCTCAAGAACCCTCAGAGCAATGCTTAGGCAGATGCAGTGGCCTGTGGGATCCCTGGTGTGCCTGGCGGGGTGCCCCTGGGGCGTGCTGAGAGGGGGATTGAGACTGGGCTTGGTGGTGGGTGCCTGTAATCCCAGCTCTTGGGAAGCTGAACACAGGCAGATCACTATGAGTCTGAGTCAAATCTACACAGTGAGACGCTGTAGACCCTGTACTGAAATACGGAAAAAAAAAAAAAAAAGAACCCTCAAGGCAAAAAATTATTAGGTGGCGGATTCCCTTCCTGGCTGCTGGGCTGCAGCCCCTCCCCTCCTTGAAGGCTGGGGGTGGGGAGGATGGAGACCCAGCCCAGTGGGGGATGAGGCTGGAGACCCAGCACACCCCGGCGGTGGTGTTTCCCCAGGGGTAGGCAGCCAGAGAAGAGAACTTGGGTTTGTTTGCGGTCCCAGATTGTGCTAAGACCACAGATTTTTCAGCGACCTCTCCTGTAGACAGTGAGCAACCTGTACCCGCAGCAGGACTCTCACAGAGCATGCAGGGAACATGCTAACAGCCCAGGTCTCTGAGCCACTTTGCGCTCCAAAGCTAAAGAAGGGCCTCTCCTTCCTGGGAAGCCACTAACTCAACCTCTTTACCAATCGCAGCTGTCACTTGGGCTTGTGAGAAACTGGTCGCAACCCACAGTTTCTTCCCGGCACGCGCCTCCCTTCCAAAGAAGCTGAGAACGATAAAGAGGCGAGCACACTGAAACCAAACCCAGCTAGGAAACAGTGAGAAACAAACAAAGGAAAAACTTCTTAACCAAACGCTATGGCTAGCCCCTGACCAAAGACCCTGATCTCAAATGGCCAAGGTTTACATGAAAAGCGAGCTTTGCATCATCTGATTAAGCACATGCCTTTGTCTTGTGCTCTGCACTTGGCTTTCTGGAAGCAGTGGTGTGAGGAGACCCAGTAAGGGAAATGGGGTCGGAAGGCTGGACTAGCTTCCTCCTTCCACCACGTGCTGGCCATGTGACCTAGGGTGAACCCTAAAACCATCTGGGCCTCGGGGTCCCTAGCCACACAGGAGAACAGAATGCTTCCTGCCGCTAGGAGTTACGAGCTGTGTGTCGGGAGAGGATACACCTAACAGCTGGGGACAGAGGAGGCTGCGGTGTGGTCTGTCCCCTCAGAGCCTCCGTATATCTGTGCACCCAAATCTGCAAAGGATTCACCTCACACTTTAAAATAGGAACACAGCCAGGTGTGGTGGCACATGCCTATAATCCCAGCACTCTGGGAGACTGAGGGAGGAGGATCTGAGTTCAAGCCTAGCCTGGGCAACTTAGCAACTTAGTGAGACCCTGTCTTAAAATTAAATATAATAGAGGCCTGGGGTGGAGCCCAGTGTGAAGGCCTCAGGGTCAATCCAAGTATCATACAAAAAAAAAAAAAAGAGAAAAGAAAATATTTTATCTCAATGAAAAAAAAGTGTTCATTACTGTAGTTGATCAAAAACAGAAGCACAAACACCAAATCTGAAGTTTATCATTGACACAATAATACTCACAGCTATAACCCGGTAACCCCATCCAGTCAAAGCCAAAATCTGCCGGAAAAATACATCAGCTGTTCCACTGACAGGAGGCAGAAATATGAGGGGACATCTGATACTTCTGGGACCAGCATCATACAGCGACCATATTTTACTGTCATCATCATCTACGATAATCTGGAGAGAAAAGACAGGAACAAAATGAACCACCCCACGGACCTGGGTTTGCTGTTTTTCGTTTACATGATAATTTCACCGACCACTTTACTGTGGCTGCCTTACACAATGTTACCTGAGATCACACCAGATTAACTTGCACAATAAACTGGTTGGGTTCCCTTAACTTTCTTACCCAACAGATTCCACAGAACTGCTTTATCAACTTCCTTGGGGTCGCTCCCCTCCCTCTCTCTCTCCCTCCTTCTTTCCCTCCCTCCCTCCCTCTCTCTCCTCTTCCTTCTGTTTTTAGTTGTCCTGCCCAATCTTGATAATAGGAAAAAGTTTGTTTGCCATTAAACAGCAAATGACATCTTATTGTAAAGGGCACCTTATTTCTCCCCACACTTCTAGCTGCCTGTGTGTGTGCACGCGCATGTGCAAGCATGCATTTGTGTGCACACAATGAGTGTATCTGCAGAGTCATGCTCTGGTGGTGCTGGCTCAGCACTGGCTGGAATCAGCAGGGCAAACAGGACAGGCCACCAGATGCCAAGGCTCCAGGCCCAGGAAGAAGCTGGGTAGAGACAACTCCGGCCCAGGGGATATTTTAGGACCGTGATATGGATCGACCCTCTGGGAAGGCGAGGGACACGTGTGCTGTCCCAGGGGAACACTTCAACCTTTCTGCTCCTTGAGGAGTAGACACAAGAAAAAACTGGCTCTATGGGCAGAGAGGGGAGCCAGGCATTCAAAACCTCCCTGATCTTATGATTGTGGACCCTCGAGGGAAAAAAAGGCAAGCAGGGTACACGCAGGAGCCAGGTGCCTGGCAGGTGTCCAGCGGTCTGCAGGGATCAGCGAGGACAGCCATGCGCTGCGCAGCCATCTGCCAATTCAACCAGTATCGATTCACTTTTACCTGCGAAACGCCAAGGCCTCTGGGGGCTTTGCCCTGAGAGCTGTGAGCCGGCAGTGCGAGGGACGCCACAGTGCCACTGCATGTGGAGTGGTGCGCCAGCCAGGGTCACTGCTGGCCCTGGGAGCAGGTGGGGCAAAGTCCAAAGGGTCCGAATGGCTTCCCTTTGGACTTCCTGGGGTTGCAGACGGTGACAGATAGCTCAAGCTTGTGTTTCTGACCTTTGCATTTTGCCTTTTACAGTTCTGCCTTTCAACCTGTCATTCTGTTGTAACTGTGACTAAAGACACAAAACCAAAGAACTCAATGACCTCTGACAGAGCAGACAACGAATCCCAATCTTGTAGTAACAAAATGAGGCTATCAGATCTCTAAAAGCATCTAGGGGATTATTTCAACGTTTCAGGCTGGGAGAAAAGTAACACAAATAGCATGTTCTGAAATAATAGGCTCTGAAAAGTGACACGGAAGTCACGAGTACCTAAATGTGCTTATCGCTGTAACTTTCTCAGCGTTCTCCTAGAGAACACAGGGCTGTATCTGTTTGATAATTTAAAATTGAGCATCACAAAATTATACGCATGACCTGTGGATCAAATCACTGACAGCTAGGCCATCCGCGCTGATCCCTGCAGACCGCTGGATGCCTGCCGGGCACCTGGCTCCTGCGCATCCTGCTTGCCTTTTTTCCCCTTGAGGGTCCACAATCATAAAAAGCACTACATCAAAGAAACTACTACGTGCAAGAATGTCTCGGTGGGGGCTGGGGAGATGGCTCAGTGGGATAAGCGTTTGCCTGGCAAACACAAGGGCCTGAGTTCAATCCCCGGTTCTGAAAAAAAAAAAAAAAAAGAATGTCTGGGTGTTTTGGCTCTAGTGACACAGTCCATTGAAAGGAGCTCATCTCCCGGGTCTGGTGTGTACACCTGTAACCCCAGCTACTCAGGAGGCTGAAGCAGGAGGATCACAAATTTGAGGCCAGCCTGGACAACGTGACCTTGTCTCAAAAATAAATAAATAAGGTTGAGGATGTAGCTCAGCACTCCCTGGCTTCAGTCCCCAGTGTAGCCAACAAAAAAGAAAAAAAAATGTTGATTGTATATGACAACAGAAAAGGGGTAAACTTCATGTTCAGTAATCCAAAGTTCCAATACTGGGAAAAATCTTTACTTTCATATTCTCAGGAGAGACCCTGGTGGTTCACTGGTGAAACTGTCACACTCTTAGTAACTTTTTTTTTTTAAGAACTGGATGAAACATGGGGCCGCACAAAGGCTAGGTCAGTGTTGGACCATTAAACCACACCCCCCGTAACGTTTACCCTTCAAATATCACTAAGGCAAAACGTGTAAGTCACACACAAAAACAATGCAGGATTTTACAAATAAGAAGTATAGCAGGCCGGAGAGATGGCTCAGTAGGATAAGCGCTTGACTGGCAAACTCAAGGATCTGAGTTCAATCCCCGGTTCCGCCAAAAAAAAAAAAAAAAAGAAGAAGTATAGCAAAACTGCACATACCTTTTTAAGGGGAACTGTACTTCTAAACCAGTTATAATCAGGAGAGACTTTAATTTCGCCCATGATTAGCTGAGATGGAGGTTGAGGCTGAAATAAAAGCAAGTGAAGAACTGGTGTTTACATCAGAATTGAACATAAAGACTGGCCCAACTTTACCAATAACACATTAAGACCAAAGAAATGGGCCATTTTACCTTGTCAATATACACTTCAACTACAGAAAACAACTCAGTGAAATACTATAATCAGAGAGCCAAGAAAAAGAATTACTATAACTCCTTTAGTTCCTCTGGAAGAGGAATCTAGTCTAGGAAATTTGAACAAACTACCACGAGTCATATGGTTAACATAAACTAGGAATAGACACAGGAATCATTCCTGAGGCCAGCCTGACTGTCTCCATTACTTGACAGCCAATTGGGATGCCGTCACCTTTTGACATAATCTTAAGAACGCATTTTAGGGCTGGGGAGGAAGCTCAGCAGTCTAAGCGCCTGTCTGGCAAGTGCAAAGACCTAAGTTTGATCCTCGGTACTGGCACCAAAACTGGGCATGGTGGCGCACACCTGTAAACGCAGCCCTGGGAAGCCTGAGACAGGAGGATCACTACAACTCTGAACTGCGTAGTGAGATCCTGAGCTTTGCATTTAATAAAGATATTCCTGTCTGACTATAGGCAACAGTTCACGCTAAAAGGAGTTAAAATAAGCCTGTTTCCTAATAAATTCACAATATCCCATAAATTTAACTCTAATGGAACATAACTACACATGTAGCTCCTAATACAACACACAGGTCAATTTGCCATTTTTAGTGAGATGACTGAATGTTACCTAAAAGCCACTCTGGAAGACCAGCAGTATAAACTGGAAGGCACTAAACCTAGCACTAAAATATCTGCCTTTAGGGGGAAAAAAGTGGGCTTTTGTGAGCTTAGTGATTTCTAGTTTGTTTGTGGGGTTTTTTGGGGGAAAGGGGTTGGGTGGACGTTTTGTTTTTAGGCACGGGGCTTGCACCCAGGGCCCCCCACGCGTTAAGCAAGCACTCTACCGATGAGTACATCCCCACGCTGACCTTGGATCAGCTGTGACTGCCTTTGGGCTGGTTTCCTCATCCATCACCGCTCTATCCCCAGGCCCTAGAATAGCACACAGTACTGAGCAGACATTATCTGCTAAGTGACTGCCTACATCCTGAAGGGACGGAACTAGGTCCTCCAAGAGTCCCTCCTAACCCCGGCACCTAGGAACTCCACACTTGTTGAACATCTGCAACTTAATGGACACCCCTCTTTTTGCTCCGGCATCTGACCGTGTTATGGAAGACCAAGAACCGGAAATTATAGTTCCTTATTTCAGATTCCTACTGCCCACTGAGGAACTTCCATCCGTCCGCTTGGAAGGCTACAAAGCCAGGTCTTACTCCACGTCCTTTCCTGCACTGGCAAGCCCCCGCTTCCTAGCAGAGCTTCAGACTCTAGGACTTAACTCCTGGGCTGACTCTGAACTGTCCTTGTCCTCTTTGAAAAGGTTCTCTGGACTGGCTGGGAGCAGGGAACGCAAAACTTGATAGACCTCTTTCTTCTTCCCTGGCCCTCCAGATCAGTCCCCACAGGGACACAGGCCCTCGGCAGTCTCAATTACTACCTCAAGGAGCGACTAAACTAGCCTCCACGCCTCGAGACAGTAATGCACAATATTAAACTTGATTTATAACTAACGTCATAAGAATGTTTCTCTCCAAACTAAAATAGCACCTTTGTTAAAATCTCAAATTGCTAAGAAATTCACCAGCAAACTGACAGTGAAAACCAGTCATACTAAAAAGGAGAAATCAATCTTTGCACAGTTTTATCTTAATTATTAGCATGTTTAAAAAGCCATTTTTAACTATAGTCTTTCTCTACATTGATTATTATCTTTAAATGAGAGCAACTACCACATTGAGTTAATTTTAGAGTAGTTTCTTTTTTTGAGACAGGCTTTCACTATGCAGTTTAGGCTGTCCTTGAGCTCACTTTGTAGCCCAGGCTAGTCTCGAACTCCCAAGGATCCTGCTGCCTCAGCCTCCCAAGTGCTGGGATCACAGGTGTCCACCACGTTTCGCTCTAGAGTATTTTCTACCTGGACAGACTCGCTATACTTCCATATCATCTAAACATTTCCTATTGGAGACATTTTCTATTATTGCTCTTTAGAAACAAGTACTCCACAGAAAAGAATGTAAGAAAACACATTAAACAAAAAAAAAAAAAAAAAAAAAAAAAAAAAAAAAAATCTCAACAGATTTCTAAAATATCTTTCTAATCTCAGCTAAAAAGCTTGCCTTGAGAATCAACAAGTTTGGGACAAGAAGTGATCCCTAATTTTGGAATACAATGCACAAACCAAACCACCCTAAGAACACAGTGGTACAGTCACTCACACATCCACTTCCTTCCCGCAACAAGAAGTAAAAGTTGTTCCTTACCAGCAGCACCCAGTACCATTCAACCACCTCACTACTGTAACGTGTTACAGCTAATCTTGCTGGACGGACAGTCCACCCAGCTGTGATTGATTTTTTTGTCGGGCCAAGTGATTTTAACACTTGTGCTAGCTGGACAGTAATGAAAGGTGAGACACATACCAATTGTCGCATCTGACCAGCTGACACTGAGGAGAGAAAAGCCTGAGAAAGCAGCTGGGTGCGGTATGAAAAGAGAATCTAAGGCACAGAAGGTGAACGGAGACTGTGACAAAACTGGCCAAGATGAAATAAACATGTGGGTGACAGATCAGCCACTGATGTGACCTCCTGTGATCTGGGGCATCACAAAAACAAAAGCACCTGTTTGTGCTGGTGGCTGAAGGGCCAGAGAGATTAGCCTTAATCTTAAGGAATTCTTCTCCCGGGGTGCTGCCGACTGCCTGACTCCCTTCTACTGTAGCTACACAATAAAAGTGACAGTTAAGTCATGTCATTCAGGGGTTCCACTGATTCCGCCAGTTCACAATCAAGGAAATCACCTTCACAAACATTTCAACCATATAACCAGCTTAACGAGTCCCAAGTTTCTGATCTTTTATCCAACCTAGTTGATTTACATATGAGCAATCTGTGCTTATTAATAATACTTGCAAAAACAGAGCACTGGACCCCAAGAGTCTCTAGACAATACGGTACAACTGGAGGCCTGTGGGGGGTCAGGGATTTAACCTAGGGCCTGGGGAGGGCTAGGCAGCCTCTTACCACTGAGCCACACCCCCAGGTCCACAGCTGCCTGTTTAATGCAAGGCTCCAACCCTCCCACACCAACATATGGCTACTCTTTCCTCAGTTCCCGTCAGGAAGATTTACACGCTCCCCTTGCCCCGCCGCTTTTTCTTCATCATCTCTAAACTTCGTAGAAGAAAAGCTGCCTTCTTGACACCTCTCCTGTAACACTTCTTCCCGAGCTCTTGGCATGAGCGCGCTAGGAAATCTGGACGCTGCTATTAGGTTACTCCTCACCCTGCTGACTCTTTGTTCCAAAGGGAGCTGAACCATTGTAGGCGAGACAAAGAAGCTGCACAAGCCACCGACTTCTAACTCCCCGGGAAAAGGGGGGGAAGAGCAAGACATTCTGGTCCTGTTACTTTTCAGAAGCCTCGCACCTGGCCTGTACTCAGCAATGACGAAGACGTTTGTTACTTTCGGGACGAGGTCCAAAACAACTGAGCTCTCCCCAGCTCTTAAAGTTTACTGAAATAAAACGTTCCGGGGCTACAGCTCCGGCACCCTTGGATAGACCTACACCGGGTGCCGTGATTAGGCTTCTGCACCCCTCTCCGCCCCCCCCCCAGCCCCGCACTCGTCCCTTCGGGGACAGCCACGCAAAGGTAAGGCCACCGGCACCCGGACCACCCGCAGTAACCCAGACGTGGCCTCAGACACACAAACATCGACGTACGATCACGTGCATGATCACATGGACCGGCCCACTCCTGGGCTACCGCCACAAAGTCACACCCGGCCGAGGCAGACGCGCATGCTCCACACACACCCCTACAACCCCACACACCCACACGCCGGCTTCTTGGGGCCTCGCCCACCCCTCACCTGCCGTGGCCACCCCCACGTCTCCTTCCCTCCTGCCGCGGGCGGCTCCGGGCTGCAGCTCCACCGCGGGTGACACCGACGGCTGAAGCAAAACGCCGAGGACCTGCAAACTACAGCGGGGGCGCGCGGGAGGCGGCCTCCGGGAGGCGGGGCGCCAGCCGACCTGCCCCGGCCGCGGCGCTCCCAGCTCCTGAGCCGTCCGCTCCCGCTTCCGGGTTCGGAGGGGGCGGGGCCACGTCGCGAGGAAGGGGCGGGGTTGCGTCCGGGCGGTCACTATGGCCACCGGCAGGGGCGGAGCCTGGAATGTGAGATTCTCGGCTCTGGAACACTGCGGGTGAGTGACCTGGAGGCGCTGAAAGAAGTCTGAGTCTCCTGTATGTGAGCTCCGGCTCACCTATCTGACCTGCGCACCTAGGAGGAGGTTATGGCTGTGGAAGAAAGAGGCATTTTGCCTAGAATGGTGGTGCACCCTGAAATCCCAGCACTCGGGAGGCTGCGGGTGGAGGAGGATCGCTGCGATTTCAAGGCCAACCTGGACCACTTAGTTGTTATGGGTCACTCTGCATAGGAACCAGATCAGCCAGATAGAAATTTGAGAATTGAGCCTTTTATTTATTGAGCTCAGGTCCGTCAGCCACTTCTCTCGCAGGAGAAGGTTGATCGGCCCGAACGTAGGTAGCAAGGGGGTATTTATAACAGAAATCACATCCAG